ATAGTACATATGGTCCTTACCCGTCTTCGGATGAGCTGACTTCAGGGCGTCAGCCTCCTGTCTTAGGTTGGTACCATATGTACTATTGGACAACCTAAGGCAGGCACAGTCCATAAGCCACATGCTTGTTGTTTAAACAGAGAGGGGGAGATGTTGAGAGCCACAGCCAAAGGGGCCCCAGCAAACTTCCACCTGCCAGCAGACATAGATGGAACAAGCCCCTTAGTACTTCCAGTCTCCCTGTCTGCCATCATTTCTGAGCTTAGGTACGGCCTCTCCAGCTGGGAAATGGGGGGAGGGGTGTGGGCAGGGAACACATTGGGGTTTAACCCTACCCAGATAATTGTTTGGAAATCCACAATGAAAATAAGAGCTAATTGTTGGGAAATCCCAACAAATCCCAATTGTCTGTTCAATTACAGACAATACTGTATGTGGTAGGCAATAACAATGGCATTGAACAAGTCAGACCTAAGCTTCCTTGTTAAAAGTTTTAGAGTTAATGTTTGCTAATATCAGTCAAAGTCCCACCACCGAGTGGGACAAATCTATCTGGTAACTGAGGAAAGTTTAGGAATGGAGCTATTTGCAAATATGTAGGCAGTCACAAGAGAAATCAAGAAGGGATGGAGAAGCACCTCAGGACAAGCAGCCTGAGGGAGCCTTTACTACCCTTAGGCCTAAATGGGTAAGCAAAGAGGTTGCCCTGAGAGGGCTGTAGCCATGGAAGAGCTCAGGCACAGGTGATCATCTTTGAGATCTTTGGTAGGAATCTAGCTGTTTCTAACTGTAATCCTATGTAGAGTGAAGTGAGAGAATAAATAGCCTAACTTCACTCATATACCCTCCAATATCCTGCTAGTGCTCCCATTGGCTAAACTGAGCCATAAGTCAAAGGGTAAGAAACATGGTAGATCCAACTGATGGGGCACAGAAGATATTAGTCTACCAGGGTAAAAGGCCTATGGAAAAGGACAGAGAATGGATATGAGAGGCCAAAGGAGAATGTCTATATACCAAGGAAGGCAAGAACCAGTAGCAACCCTTGATAGTACAGCTTTAGGAGAAAAAGGAGATAAGAGAGATTGCAGAGCATGAGCTGGTTAAAGATGAGTCATCAATAAGTTGATTGAAAAAAATGGAAGAAGTTATAAGATTATCTTATAGATCTCTGGAGTAGGAAAATGTAATTGTTCACAATATGGAAGAAAGAGAGAATTTTCATTTGAAGAGCAGAAAGAAGTACTATAAAATGGAATGACTGGATAAAAAGGACTAACAGATGGACCCAAAATGCAAAAGGATGCTTTTGAAGTTGTAGTAGTATTACGTGAATAATGTCAAAACAGTACCACCTTGTTTACTGGAAATCATTGCCCCACCCATGCTCAATAATAATCAGTCACTCTTAGAATTTATGCTACTAGGGTGGGTTTACTATCTTATCTCCTAGTAGTGTTTCTATTAAGGTAAGATCTTTCAATGTTTTTGGTATGATTTACACAGATGAAGGCACTTGATTGAAATGARAAGACTAAATTTGAGGATTAGGTAAAGGTTATGAAAACTTTAAATGTATTTCAAAATTAGTTAACTATTATAATACTTTCTTTGCTAAAATTAAATATGTAACAAGAAGCAAAGACAATTATTTACAAATTAAATTGCTTTATACCTATTTTTTTTTCTTTCTACAAAAAAAGTTACTGTGTTTCAAGCTAGATACAATGTTCTATCTAAATTTCATCTCCAAATTTTGTGTTCTTTCACTACCATTTAAAGGACAAATTGAGCTGGACATGATGGCACCTGCCTATAATCCCAGTGACTCTAATTTCCAGCTGAAGCAGGAGGATCCAAAGTTCAATACCAGCCTGGACAATTTAGCAAGACCTGTCTTAAAATAAAACTTAAGAAAAGCTGAGGGCATAGCTCAGTGGTAGAGTGCCTCTGGGTTCAATCCCTAGTACCAATAAACACATAAACAAACAAACAAATAAAGAAATTGGAATTTTTCTAGCCTGATTCTCCTAAGATTGTCTTTGGGGTTACTCAATAGACTGAAGATTTCAGGAGTCACGGTATTTGAACTACTCATATGTCACCCATCTCATTAGTGACATTATATCATTTATTGTTGAAGCACCTAATTAATACTTAAAATGAGCCAGTGACAGAAAAACTGTGAAGAGTGGAGTAGAATGCTTACCCAGTAGATTACTCTACTGTAATCTTGTTGTCAATACTACTGGCCATACATTGCCAGTAGTATTGACAACAAGAAATATCCATCAGAAAATATATGCCCCTTTCCTATATGTTTCTCTGGTATTTAAAGGTATACTGTTTTTTGGGTGTGGGGGGGTGTACTGGGGACTGAGCTCAGGGGTACTCAACCTCTGAGCCACATCCCCAGCCTATTTTTGTATTTTATTTAGAGACAGGGTTTCACTGAGTTACTTAGCACCTCACTTTTGCCAAGGCTGGCTTTGAACTCGCTATCCTCCTGACAGCCTGCCGAGCTGCTGAGATTACAGGCATGTGCCACAGAGCCCAACTTGAAAGTATACTTTATTTTAAAAATCTATCCAGTATTCAAATTGGTAAGATGATGAAAAGATTCTTCTTCGAAAAAAAACCTACTTCCATTTATTAAATGTGCTACTTACACATTTATAAGTGTGCAGATCAGAGTTCTTTCAGTAGAAGAGGAGTCAATCTGATTTATTAAAAAATAATTTTAGCACTCTCCCATCTCTACACATACACATTTTACTGATAGGGTAAGTCAGAAGTCTTAAAAAAAAAAAAAACCTGTAAACTACAAGGTTTCTTCTGTTTCTCTTCGATCCCTACAACAGTAAACTAAGATAATCTGGAATTTTCCAAGCTTTGGTTAGAAGTCTTTCGCTTCAGAAGAGACCTGAGAAAAAAGACTTAACTGACCTTTACAGATAGGAAAGCATAGCACCTACTGAGATTTGTCTTCTTGTTGGCACCTCTCTACAAAAGAAGTGGGAGGCTAAAATCAGCTTCAACTTGTGCAAATTAAAAGTAACCTTCAGGCTAATGGGTTTTCAACACCACTCCTTACTGAGAAAAAAAATAAAAATCTACCCCATAAAATTAAATTACCTCCTCAAAACGACTTCTCTAATAAATTACAACATTAAATATGTTAAAATAAAATTATAGTTCCTTCCAAACAATCCCTTGCTTCCTGAGGTAACACCCTCCCTGTTAGTGTTAGAAGTAATTCTATCTGTAATGGAATACTTCATTCAGTTCTGGAGACCAGTACCAAAAAAGACCACCAAAAACCTAAAAACTGTCAATGAAATGGAAAAACAACTAAAAGTCAAAAAAATAAATCAGATATTTGAGGAAAGAAAAGAACTATAGTTAGGAGAAATTCAATCTTTAGCTCTTTAGCAAACACTAAATTTAAAGAACATAAAGCATTCTAATCTTGTGGAAAGTGACCAGCTACTTTCAGTTTCTTTGGAGTACAGATCAAAAAGAAACAACAAAACAAGTAGGCCTGGTAATGAGTTTGTAAAGTGGTGGCTCTCTATTAATCCTAGCAATCACTAAAAATTGTCTATATAGTTCACTATATATAGTTCACTAACTGAAGAAGTTCTAATGTAGTYCTTTTTAAACAGCATTGAAACTTGGAAACACATTGTTGAGTCAATACTTTGTACTGAGAACTGGACTAGTTCTTTTAGGAGGGAAAATATGGAAACAAAAAAAAAAAAGAGGAACAGTACAACCCACTTGAAGAGATGGGCATACACATAGCTAGAAGCAACTAATGAGCACAAAATGCACAAATGATGTGCATAATTTGAACTGGGAGATCATTTGGAGGAAAGTCACAGTTAGGAGATTATATAAAGCTAACAGGTTAAATTTTGTTTGAAAAACTATGGATGGGTTAATTTTAGAATACCTGAAAAAAACAGTATTCTGGAAACTGTATACAGGATGAACTGAATCAGGAGAAGCATCATGCTAATACTAAAACTAACACAGACCACTAGTAGGTGCTAGGACTATCTAAACATTTACATATGAAGTCACTCATTAAATCTTCACCTTAATGTTCTGAGTCCAAGAGTGTTACTATCTTGTTCTACAGACCAGGAACTGATCCACTTAAATAAAGTCGCATTTTGAGAGTAAGCCTCCTGCATAGYATCCTTCAGGCAAATAAATATAAGCAAAGTACATTTCATTTTCAAAGCAAATGTTGATTATCCAGAGAAGAGAATACTCAAATTTCCATACAATATATCATATTGTTTTTAAGAATTTTTATTACAGAAATTTTCCAATATTTATAAAAATAGAGTAGTATACTGAATCCCTCAATACACCCCTGTATCCCGTTGTACCCAGGCTTGATTTATCTGCTATACAACCCCTAATTTCATATACCTAACCTTCATTATTGGATTTAGTGATGATATGAAGTATTACTACTAAACACTGAGGGAGGGGTATAGGAAATAAGGAGAGGCAGAGCACATGAATGTTTCTCTAAAAAATGAAGACTTTGATTTTTTTTTCCTAAACATGACCACAATACCATCATCACACTGCAAATCACACACTCACTCWCACACACACAAYGCTTATTAAGATAAAATATCAAGGAATGATCCAATTTTCAATAATTTATCTCACTTTATTGATCCAAGTTTTAATAATTTATCTCACTTTACTATTTATTGAGAACTTGCAACGCGCCAGCATTCGGTGCCATCCCATAGAGTGGTTTATTGAAATTGCTGTTATTTAAATTGCTTTTTCCTCCCTCCTTTCACTCCAACTGAAAGGACAAGTCTGTGGGCACCGGTGACTCAGAGCCTCCGCAGCAGGATCCAGCCTTGGCCCACCGGGGCGGGAGGCTGGGCCTGAGCGGCTTTCCGCCGGGTTCGCTCTGGCCCCGGGACGCTGGCCCCACCCCGGTTGCCTAGGCGACCAGGGCCGTTGCTATCCCGCGACAACATGGAGACTTCCTTGGGGACGACCCCTGTGGGAAGCGCGCCAGAGGCGGAGGTACGCGGCCCCTTCCCCGTCCCAGTCCGGGTCCCAGATGGTCCGAGCGCCCGACCCCGCCACGGGTCAGCGGCCAAGGTCCCTGCCCKCCCGGGAAGGTTCTCCAGGCCCGGCTCCCGCAGGTGCGCCGCCCAGCACGACCGCGGGGCCCAGCCCGCCCGGGCGGCGCCCGCTGCGTCCCCGAGCCCCGCCGCGGCTGGCGGTCCCCAGCTGGCCCTAGTGCACCGCGCGAGGTGCCCGTGATTATAAATTGTATTCGTTCTTGCTTTGGACTGTTCCATGCCCAAAGACCTTACATCCACTGACTTCTAGCTCTTTTTTTTTWAATTAAAAATTAAAAACTGATTTCAGATTTTTAAATGAGCCAGTCCCTTTAAATATTTCTCTAATGATCACAGCTGTGATTGTTTGAAAGGTGTCGCTGAATAATAACTGCTTATTGGTAGTGGATTGAGTAATTGTAGAAGGCCAGGCTTTGGTGCTTCTGTTATTATTTTGCCATTTCTCTGGGAAAAAAAAAATACAAGATAGGAGACAGGACAAAGAATAGCAGTTGGAAAATCCATCTTCCAGCCATGTCTTTGTTGTTTATTATTAACATGTCTTTTGGAAATCATTTGACCTTTGTGGACCCCAGTAGCCTCCTTGTGTAACATAAAGGTTTTTTTTTTTTTTTTAATCTTTAGACCCCCTCAACATCCACACACAGCAAAGATTTTTAGGTAACTTTACTCATTTAGGCTTAATACCCTGAGACATTTGACTAAGAACACTGCCAGATATAACCAAAAAATGTTTTATTCTCCACACACTGAGTTTTATTCTTCAGCTTTTTTTCAAACCTCTTAGGTGTATAATAATGTGTTAATTAACATCACTTTGCCACATTAGTCTAAAAAACATTCTTTGTGCAGAAGATAAGTATTAGCTGTAATTTTATAAATGACCAAATGCAGAGAACCAATAATTTTGCTCCTTGCTCCCAGACATGTAACTGTTCCCACTCTGGATCCCTCCAATACTATATGCAGACCGCTAAGGCATGCAGACTCTCATATGAGCCTTTTGAAATAAAATTAGCATACATTAAATGCACTTTTTAATGTGATAAACTGGTTTCTCAGTCAGTTACTCCCTTGTGATCTCTAATGTAAGTAATAGAATTTCAAAAGTGGCATAGAAAATTTCCCAATTAAATTGTGTTATTTAAACATATAGAAAAACTTATGAAAATGCACAATTGCCAGTGTAAGCATACTTATACAAGTAAATAATACCCTTTTATTAGTAGATTGATAATTTTGCTGTCTGTTGAATCTGTACTAAAGTACACATACACACAATCTGTGCCATATGTAAAAATGTACACATATATTAAATAATATATATATATATATCTACTTCAGATAGATATATCTGTACCTATGTATATCTGTACATAGGTACAGATATACAAATATATAGATATCTACTTTACATATATATAATATACATATATGATTACACATATGTGACGTAATGAAGTGTCATACTCTAGGGAAAAAAACTCCATTTTTTATAATGGATGAATCAGATGAATGCACTGGTTATAGACCTTAGATGATTATCTACCATCTTAGGATTCTCAGCTTGCCCATCTGTAACTTTGTGGAGGAGCAGATATTCCTCATGATATGCAATTCAGGATATGCTCAGTCTTTTGGTTATTAACAAACTGGGGACATCAAGTTGTAACTTGGACTCACTTAGTGGGCTCATTTACTAAGATGACACATTAATACACTGGGTGGTGAAAAGTCCATTTTCCATTCTAATGAAAGCAGAGTTCTTATCGTTCACAGGGGAGACAGTTGCTCCATACAGCTGTGTCATTCATTAMAGTGACAAGTTCTGCCTGCTGCCCATTTGTGCTTACTTCAGTTTCAGAGGTTAGATGGAAAAGATGGCAAGGCTCTCTTGTAGTCTATTCCCAAGAATGCAGCTTTTTAGCTGAATACTGAAAGGTTCTTCTTAGATCAGATTCTTTGCAGAGTTGATCCCCCGGGAGCTAGTCCCTGATGGTGTCATTTCTAATAAATTCTTTATCTTAATTGACTGGCTTAGCCAGTAGAACATCTAGTCAGCAGAGCCAAGATGTAGTGAAATATGTCTTTTCTTGCCAAATCTATCAGAAATAAAGCATAAACTTCCAATAGTTTGAGGTTTCCCATTTATTGGTAGTAGCTAACACCTGGAATAAAAGTAACCAATTATCCTAACCACATAGTAGACACACAATAAATTATTAAAATCATGGGTAGTCTGAAATATGCAGGAGAGGTAGTTATCATAGACTAAAACCCACTCTGAGATACTGTGAATAAATGGACATGAGACACAGATCCAGGGAAACTATTTCTGTGACATTGCATAAGCTCTATTTGCCAAATTTCTGAATTCAATATTCTAGGTTCTTTAATTATGTTGGAGAAAATGCCTCCCTTTAAAATTTAAATCTAAACTTTTGGCATTTAATGTAGGGACACATAAAAACAGAGAAAAATGGGGAAAATCTGAAAATAAGCATTTGCTATATGTTGACCKATATAAGTGAAAGGAGTTTATAAATGCAAACTTAGACTTCAGAAATCAGTCTTCTATCCATAGTTTGTTCATAAACTGGCTTTCTTAATATCTTCAAAAATAGTATTTGCAAAATAGAATCATTTAAGTGGTAAACATAAAAGGAATATGCTTCAACTCACATGAAAGATCTAAAAGAAAATGTAGATGATTGTTTCTCAATTGCTTCTTCTGAATAATGTCTCTTAAAATGTTAGCACATCTTCAAATCATTGACATAAACTCAGTGCATGAGCGTGGTGGGGGGCGCGGGTATTTGTGTATGGATTTTTGTACTCAAGATTGAAAGCAAGAATCTTTAGCCACTAAGCCACATTATCATCCCTTTTTTTAATTTTTAATTTTGAGACTAAGCCTCACTAAGCTGTTTTGAGCCTTGAAAAGTTGCTGAGGCTGGTTTTGAACTTGTGATCCTTCTGCCTCATCACCCCAAGTCTCTGGGATTACAGGCATGTATCACCATGCCTGGCTGGAACAACTATATAATCTTGAGAAGAAAGATAATGTCAGTTGTCTGAAAGAATGTCCAGTGGAGTCTATAGATGATTCTTTCTATGTTAGATGTTCCCTACAAATGTTAGAATACAGACCCTACCCGACCCCTGAAGGTTAGAGAAAAACTATGAGCTCAACTTGGGCAGCACAATGAGGTTTCTAGAATTTTAACATCATTCAAATTTATTGAAATTTAATGAAATTATGAGTAATTCAATGTGAGTAAAAATATTGTCACATAGTAAAAATCAATCTGTGTACACTATGGGACACTATGTACTTAAAAATCTTACTGAGTGATAATATTTATCAGTATTTGGGGCTTCTGGCAAATACTGGCCTTAAGCACGGGGTTGTCTTTTTTCTTGACATTGTTCTTTGGGTTTACTGTCTTGTTTATAAAGCTCTGCTCTTACTTTGCCTCCGTCCTTCTCTAAGGTGGTCCTATATAATCCTCAAATGTTTTCTAATACTTAAAGTTTTATTTTATTAAAATTAATTATTTAACAAATCTAGAGTTAATTTTGATAGGTGTGTTTTATATTTGAAATGAGGATCTAATTTGAATCTAATCATGTCCATTGAGAATAGACTTATTGTCACTACCACATTACATATAATACATGAGTAAGTATATGAATAGACAAACTACTTAGGGGACAAGAATAAAGGATCCAAATTTTATTTTATATAAAATTCTCTCTTCTGTTGCATTGAACTAGTTTGTCCATTCTTGTATCAATATCATATCAATTTTATATTCAGCTTTACTATCTAATTTGGAAAGGTCATCCTCACTGTTGTTTCCAAATGTATGTATTCTCCCATAGGAACTCAAAATTTTATCTGGTAAAGTTCTAGAATCCCATTGAGATTGTTGGTGCATCACATTTATAACATGGGTGGTATTTCATATTTTGAATTAGAGGTTTTCAATACATTTATTTTATCAATTCTTATCTTTAAACTTTTGATAAAGTTTTAAAATTTCTCTATATAGGCCTTATACCTTTCTAGTTATAATCAAATATAATTTAATGAAGTTTTCTCTTTTCCATTTCCAATTAGTTCCTCATGTAGAAAAAAGCAATTGACTTTTATATATTTGTTATATATAACCATTTTACCAAATTTATTATTAACTCAAACACTATTAATACAATGTCAGCTTACTTAGGAATGTAATCATATAATCTTCAATGAAGATTTTTTAATTTAATTTTCTCATTTCTAATATTTAAGRTACATATTTAGTTTTCTTACAGTAATTTTTAGATCCTCTATAGTATCTAGAATTACGATAATGTCGCTAGCCATAGTCCTTTTTTGTAATAGAAATACATATTTTATTACTATTAATATTGTTTTCTATAAAGTATTTTCAAATCAGCTCATATGATAATAGCCACAGTGCTTTTTCGGCTCATGGTTTTTAATAGGAATGACTGCATTTCATCATTCAATATGATGTTTATTGTTCATTTTGGTAAAAAGTCTCTTTCATATTTAGCTATTTTTCCCTATTTGCTGAGTCTTGCTGCTGAGTCTACAAAGTACGTTTTCATATAATCATAAAATTTATATCATTTAATTTGACATAAAATTACATTCAAGGTATTAATAATGATCCATCTTTTATTTCTGAATTTAATCTTCTTTGGTCATAATAATAGCTTATTAGTATTTAATACATAGCTGGATTCAATTTTCCAATATATATTTTAATTGTAAATTTTGCCTCTGAATGTATTAGTGATTCTGGTTTATGATTTCTCTTTTTGTTAGTTCAGGGTTTATGTGTTGCTTATGCTTGCTTCTTAAAAATGAACTCTCTAAAGTCTAAAATTATCAGAGTAACAGAATTTATTTGTTTTTTATTATAATTTAGTATTATATTTTAGAAATTCAAGTATAATACTATCTGGCATAGTGACTATATAAAAACATGAGTTTACTTTGTAGTTGTCAGGTCCAGTGTTCTCCTTTACCCCAATTTTTTTTTTAGTTGTAAATGGACACACAATACCCCATTTTCTTTATTTATTTTTATGTGGTATTGAGGATGGAACCCAGAGCCTCACACATGAGAGGCAAGCCACAACCTCAGCCTAACCCCAGTCAATTTTGATAACTTAAAATTTTCTAGAAAAATCATCCATTTCCTTGGAATTTTATATGTATTTCAACTGAATGTACTATATATTTATTTTCTTTCTTTCATATTTAATTACATGTGACAAAGATTTGTCTCTTTTATTCACATTTCAAGAAGATAGTTCTTTCATTTAGTTATTTTCTTTTAAAAAATTATTTGATCCTTACCTTCACAGCAAGATAATGATGGCAAGGTGAGCACAAAGTTTAAGGAGATGTCCAAATCTCAGTAATTCAGACAAATCATGTTTTGATGCACTACTTTCAAAAACAAAATTAATACAAAAATATTGATGTATTAAATTTAAAAATAGAGATAGGATCATTATTACTGTTTTTTTTTTTTTTTGCCTCAGGCTCTAATATGGCACAATACCGCACTACTCCTTAGTTAATTTATTGTAGACTTTAAAAAACAATGCTTTTCAAAATCTGGCATTTGTAGATGGCCTATGTTCTATGTGACTAGGAATCTCCTCTATAGTAATGAGGTAAAATCTGTTATCATTCTTTAATTACATTTGTTAAGAATGTTTTCTATATAAAATACCACCATTGTTGGATACAAACATGCCTCTGAAAGCTTACATTATAAAAAGAAGATATATGTGTATGCGTGTATATATATATATATACACACACATATATATATATATATATATACATACATACATATATATGTATGTACACACACTTACACACACACACACACACACACACACACACCAATGTGGAATAGTTTGGTGACATTAAAGGAAAAAGAAATGAGAGAGAGAATTATCTAGTAAATAATGCCAGGCTTAAAATTTTATTGCTCTTGGAATAGCTGCTAAAATCCACCAGGTGGTGGAATAAAATGAGGTAACAGTGCAATTTAGCTTACATATTTTCCTAGCCGGAGATGTAATTTTACAGAGAAAGCCACAATTACATATCCACATTTTTTAGTCTATTTATGAATTTTCTGTTATGTCTTTAATTCTTACAAATCAGAATATATGTGTTGAAAGATCAAAGATTTTTAGCCACCTAATATTCTTTCTAGTGAGAGGCAGTATAATAAACAAACAAAAAAGARGCCTAGTTTAAATAGGTCCAAGAATACAATTTAATAGAAAAGGAAAAAACCCTGAGGCAAACTCTACTAAAAGACAATTATTTTAAGCCTGAAAGTTTTAGTAAAAAATGTAGCACTAATATTAGGCATCTTAGCTAGAATTATTATTGTCCAGAAGGTTAAGATGATGATTGTATTCTCTTTCATATAGCACTTGGGTGGCCTACTTTTCTCCTATCCAGAGATTTTTTTGAATCAAATAAATTGATCTGAATCTCTGTGTAATTCACTTTTCTTGTATATCTTTATTCATTATTAATAATGMCAGCAATCTTGTATTTATTAAAACATATAAAAATGATTTTAAATAAGGATCTGAATTTWGATTCAAATGACTTGCTTCAAGACATAAAATGAATSAGTAGTCAAGCCATCATGAGATCCTCTAAATCCTGTCCTTCATCACACTCTGCCACCTAACACTGTCATCCTGTGATGAAGAGAAATTCTGTTGGCAACCTGTGTTGACATACAAGGATTTGCAGAATTTTAAAAGAACTAAAAAATTGGGTGTCTTTGAGGAATTTATAATTGAATGAGATTGACAGGGATAAGTATATTTTACTTCTAATAAAATGAATATTATAAAAACATTTAAACAAATATATAGACATATATTAGGAACCAGAACATTATCCTATATAAAAATGGAGTGATTTGTTTTAATTTACAAGTATCTGAGTGCCCAATAGGGGTAAAGTKCTTTATTTAACACTAAACTATTTTTTCATGTTCAGTGTGGTGGTGCATGCCTATAATACTAGCAGTAAGGCTGAGGCAGGAAATTGCAAGTTCAAGTCTAGCCTTAGCAACTAAGCAAGACTCTTTCTCAAAATAAAAATGGCTAGGGATGCTCAGTGATAAAGAATACCAGAGTACAATCCCCAATACCAAAACTAACATAAAATATTTTTTCTTAATGTGTTTGTAATTTCATCATATGACCTTATTTAAGTTTTTAATTTGCTCACCCTTAGATTATAAAAAGATGGCTAATAATTTTACATGCTTTATTTCTAAATTAATTTTTTAAATAAAAATACAATGATAACCTAATATTAAATTACAAACACTAAACCAATAATCATTATTAATAAGCCTAACTTTGAGAGTCTTCTATTATTGGAAAGGAATAAAAGAAACATTTGGGATGTGATCTGGTCAATTGTAGCAAAGCATTTCCTTGGCTGCCATTATTTTACTGGAGCACATTCACATGGAAGGTCCAATAACTATTTGGTGAATTTAAAAACATTTGGTGTGTTTCTTCCCATATCTCGCAATCAGTGATGCTGTGTAGCCCCTGTCTCCCATCTATTTCATGGCCTCCTCTTCCATCTCCCATTCACAGCTCTTCTCTTCCTGCTGTGGATTTGGACAGTCTCACCCATTCTCACTCTTGAAGTTGACTCCTAAAACATCTTGAAGCTTGATCTTTCTGAACCCACATTTCTAATTAAATCTTAATATTTCTACCTTGCTATGCATACTCTCCTTAATTGAAATTAAACTTAACATTTTGTCTTTTAAATACCAGTCTTATCTTCTAACATGCTTATTTTTACAGGTGTAATGAGGGTGCTAGGTGGAGATGTACAGGCTGAACTCTGAACAGAAGCACTTGGCTGAGATGTTGTTGAGGGCTGAAAGTATATTCACRTGTGATGTCCTCTTGCACAGGACCACACCAGCTTTGAGAAAGGCCTTTTTTCACCTCTTCTCCCCAAAAGGATAGCTTTGTCTCATTCACACCAAGGCGGCACCTAAGTTGTTGAAAGTCCCCAAATCACCACCATTTTCTCCAAGTCACGTATTTCAGAAATTCAGAATGTCCATTCGTTCTTCCCTCTTTCAGTCAATCCACCTCATCTCCTACATACCCTAGGTACCACTGTGAACTGCTTGCTTAAGTACCCATCCTTAACTGTTCTGTCTACATAACCTTGGTGTTGCTGATTCATTTACCTTGAGCATCGTCCYGCTGTGGTGCAACAGTTTATTCCTAGACCTCCCCACTGTGGACTTTGTTTATCATTCCCTGTCCTCATCCCTTTTGTTAGACTGTCTGTTCCATTTATTAAAGCTCACTTGTCACATTGTTTTCTTGTTTTAATCAGCCTTGGTTTGTTCCTTGTAAACTTTTTGAGGTTAGCAAGTCTTTCTTACTCACCTTTGCTTCCTCTTGAGCCCAAGTTCAAGGAGGAAGATGAAGGTATTCAGTAAATATTTGTTGAATCCCAACTCATTACTAAGTTTTACATGTGCAAGAAATAGATTGACTAGTTACTTGACTTGAGGAGAGAGATATCTCACATAAGAATGGAAAAGTAAGCAGATTATCTAAGAGACCATTGTTTTAATTTTTTTTTCTTACAGCAACTAGGCCACAGGAAGAACAAATTTTGTTATTATTAAGTTTGCTGTGTAATCCATGAGGTTGAAATAACTCATTTCATTTTTTTTGATAGAAAGATACTGAATTGCAAGAGCATGAAAAGATTTTGTCTTCCAATTTTCTTTCAATGGACCAAATCACTGATTTGCTAAAAGAAAATGTAGATGGAATTCAAGAGTAAGTACTTCAATATTACAGTCAAATATAGAATGRTTTTAGTTCTTCATATGTAAATGACTATGTTATAAAGTTTCTTCAAAATATTTGTTATATTGTGCACTGAAATATATTTAGACTCTAGAACACATAATTTTTTAAATAACTACCTGACTTTTGCATTGCCCAGCAGTCTTTTTTATGGGGAGAAATCCATTGAAAACCAATTTGTTTATGCTAATCAAGAATAGGAATTTACTATTAAATGTAACCTCTAGCATATGCCATCTTCCATTTCTTTTCTCTTTCTTCATAGAATGGTCAATATGCACAAGAACCTACAGGGTTGTGTTTTTTATAATATTGTCGATATATTTTATTATTTTGAAAATCCTGAATATTAGCCACTCACCTGTGATTATTATTTAAAAAATTGAAGCTATGCTATCTACTCTAATTGCATATACATTGCTTAAAAATGTAAATATAACTGAATTTATAGGCCATAATTCTAGCATATGTCCTTCTCACTATTTAGGCCATTTATTTCTACAGTAGATCATTTATTTATATCAAACAAAATTTCATAAAATATGTTTTCAGTAATAATTCATTTAAAAAACTATCTTACTTTAAAATGAAAACTCATAAAATATGGAGGTGGCAATGATGTGATGTGCTGGATCACAGTGTCCTGGTGTCTAGCCTCTGATGCTAGTCCTCAGGACACAAGGTGTTGTGGTCCATATGGAGAAACAGACAATGATTCTGTCAGTGGTTATAACTGGCAAATCACATAAATATTACAGAGTAGAGCAATTTGCTATTAAGAAGGAGACAGGRGAGATGTATTGGCTGGAAGAGAAATCTAAGAAGAGAAGGTTCATGGAGAGCAGAGCCTTTTGCCATGATACTCTTCACCAGCCCACTCTCACAGACTGCTAGAAAGTGTGACCTGTGGTTCAGCCATGCTGCCTACAATCAGTGAATTAAAATTCACACAGATTTTCTTAAAGTATCTCATTATAATTTTATCATTTTTATAAAAATGAATGTTCACCATTGGAATTCAGATTCTTAGTGAGAAAATTGAAAAAAAAAAAAGGATTCATTGTGTTGATGCCACTAATTGTGTTTCCATGTAAAATATAATTTTCCATTTACAGGTAACCCCAAATGCTGTGAAACAGTGCAGTGCAAAACAATATGTGTGTATTACTAGGAACAATAGTAAAATGTAAATAACAGATGTTTAATAGTTTAATATTTACTTTTATTACATATTAAGTAAAGCATGTCATATTAAATACAATTATATTAAATAAAATGTATTGTTGCTTTTTAGAACTATTTYTCACCACATCAYAAGTTGTGTTGTGTATTATACTTTATGTGACTATTTTTTTAAATATTGACTCACAATTTTTTTAAACACCTAAATTCTGAAAATAGTTTTAATCTCTAGGTGGTGAGATCCAAGAAAAAGTAAATGATACCATGGTTAATGCAGAAATGAGCAATATAAAAACAGATGGGTTCAATAGCAGATTGATTTTTTTAGACTATCTCATCAATATAGAAATTACCTGAAGCAATCTCAAATTTCAGAACATGTTTGGGTAAATGACATCAGTTCTGTTACGAGTCACTTCTTTGTAATTTATTTTAGGGATCTTTATATTATTTTGTACAGGAATCCTGAAATATTTGCAATCAATCATTTATTTGAATTTAAAATAGCATTATTATAAGTGGGAATTTATATGYTTTACATTTTGAACATGCTTTTCAAAATGACAGAAATATTATTTAGGTATCCTGTCACCAAGTGACAGAAGTATGCCAAAATCACACTGTATACAAAGCTACAGGACAATTTAATTTTAAAAAATTCAGTGTATTTACCTACCTTTTGAAATTAAGAATTGCCTCCATGAAAGCAACAAATGAAACATTATCATTAAACTTATTTTTGGAATATACTTTAAAATGTTAAATGTCTGGGTATACATCTTTTGATCTCCTAGCTGCTATCAATCATAAATATTTTTTTTAAAGAGAGAGTGAGAGAGGAGAGAGAGAGAGAGAGAGATTTTTAATATTTATTTTTTAGTTCTCGGCGGACACAACATCTTCGTTGGTATGTGGTGCTGAGGATCGAACCCAGGCCGCACGCATGCCAGGCGAGCGTGCTACCACTTGAGCCACATCCCCAGCCCAATCATAAATATTTTTAATGTAACCCTAATTTTGTCTACATATCCACCCCAAATCCTTTTTTAAAAATATGGGGACCAAATTAAAAATAACTTTATAAACAGAAATAACAATGAGGCATTTTTAAAAATATTTTATTTAGTTGTACATGGACATAATACCTTTATTTATTTATTTTTATATGGTGCTGAGGATCAGACCCAGTGCCTCACATGTTCTAGGCAAGCACTCTGCCACTGAGCTACAGTCTCAGTCCAAGGCATCTTTTAATAACATTTATGTAGCTGTGCCTCTATGAGCTATTTAGTTCTTCCTTAAGACTATGTCTTCATGTCATCATACTTTAGAAGTAAAATATACCCAATTTCAAGAACATGTAAGAATAGGTAATGATTTTACTGAAATACTTGGAAAGACAAAGTAGAGAGTAATCATCTCTCACTGTAGCAAAACTTCCTAAAACACTATTAAACATCATTATTTTAATTGACATTCTCTAGCACTACTTCTGTGTCCATCTCTCCCCTCTCCCTTGTTCCATCTCCCCTTGTATCCAGAAAAAGGTTTACGAATTTGCTAGTAAAATTCTCAGAAACTTTGCATTCAAACTTCAGCAGTATCTKGTTTCAAATGTTTCCTGGCATAATCTGCTTTGAAGTGAAATGACTGAATAAACAAGACAAATGATAAATACTTATTAGCCCTGTGGTTCAGGTTCCAGGGAAGATTCAAAGGGAAAGGAGTAGAGGGAGGTAAAAGAGATTTCACCAAAATAATTTATAAAAATARTTGTCTTCAAACACGAACATTGAAAAATAAAAACAGAAGTCAAAGAACATATACAAACATCCAGACCACATATTTTATTAACAAAACTTACCATGCAGATGATAGTTGAAGAGAAACTGAGAAGGAAAAGTAACTGCTAATAGCAGAAAATGTTAGGCAAAAACCGATGGTTAGAAAGGACATCAATTTCTCTCTCTCTCTCTCTCTCTCTCTCTCTCTCTCTCTCTCACACACACACACACACACACACACACACACACACACAAAAGTGAATGAAGAATAAATGAGAAAATTTGTAAATAAGGAAATTTTAGAAATAAAGTAGGAACTAAGTATAAAAAAACAAAACCAGTGTAGAGTTTACCTTGTTGAAAATCAAGTCAATGATAATAATGAAACATTATTACTGAAAACATAAAAATGAAKATTAAAGCAATTAGAAGGTATTAGAATATACACCTGACATAATGAATCAGAAAATAATTTAAACTTCATAAATACTKCAATTTTAATATTTCAATAGAATAAAACTACCTGTATTGCCTAATTTCTGGGTTAAAGTCACACAAAGAGGRAAAATAAAAGAATGGCTACAGACTTTTCCTTAATCATGTCAGGCAGCAGAAATCACTGAAGTTGACTTTTCCTTAATCATATCAGGCAGCAGAAATCAGTGGAGTTGATGAGTCACCAGAATTGAAGGAGTCAAAAGAATGTGGTTCCAGAATAAAATGTATTGGCCTTCTTTATGATTTGTATATTGGGGGTCAGGTTTAGAAATTTGACCTTCTCAAATATCAGAAATATATTTTTCTATTAAAAGTTTGTAATATTTGCTATTTGCATCTTTAACCTGTTTGGATTTTATTTTAATATATATGATAAAGGGATATTTTATTTTATAAAAGAATAGACAATTTTCCCAGCACCATTGAGTCCATACTTTCCCCCTTAAATTGAAATACTACCTCTCTCATATACTAAGCTCCCATATATATTTACCCTTTTTAAAATTTTTGTTCAACAGAAGAAAAGGAATCATATCTTAGTTGTGAATTAATAAAATAATCTAAAGTGCCCACCACAAAAAAAATAATTATAGAGAAATTTCATATACTGAATACCATTACATGGCATTGTAGGTAAAGAGTAAAATTACAATGATTGTTTAGAATAATCAGAATTCACTTTTGATTTTGAGGTTTACCCTGATACCACTGAATATGAAACATATCCACATAAGTTTTAATTTGTTCCCAAACTTGTTTACTCCTGTTGTATTTATTACTCTGATCACATAGTTTATGCTAATATTATGAATAATAAGCGCTCCCATTTTATAAGATGGCAGTGTAAAGCTGTCACACATATACTCTCCCTGCCTCACCACCAAATCACATAAAAACCACAAGGAAATACCAGTTGTATCTTTGTCAAAGCAAAGAGAATGCTGAAAGCCCAAACTACAAAATATGAAGATGATTGCTACAATCATTATGAAACTACCAGAAGAGCAGGAGAAAATATAAGGAAGATACACATAACTGTGGATCTTAGAATATGCTAAAAATATATTTATCCTCCCCAAAGGATAAAACCCAAWGGTGCCATTCCAAGAGCCCTTATTTAGTAGCAGGACCAGAATGTACAGGCTTGGATTAGACACTTTCTGAATCACAGGAAGTAGCCTGTTTATTTGATGGTAATGAGAACCTATTCAGGCTGTTTTCTTCTTTTCACCACTAATTAAAATGAAAAGTAAATATTAGAATAATTGGCAAAAAGCTACTCAAACAGCAAAGGCCTACTAGTTTATAACATGGAAAAGTTTCCACCCCTACTGTATTTCCAAAAAATATTACTCCAAGGATAAAAATTAACTTCATTCAAAGATAAATAATGAACAAAGAATGTGCACACAAAAACAGATAACTCAGGCTGGGGTTGTGGCRCAGTGGTAGAGTATGTGCTTAGCAAGTGCGAGGCATTGGGTTTGATCCTCAGCACCACATATAAATAAACAAACAAATAAACAAATAAAGGTATTGTGTCCAACTACAAAAAAGTATTTAAAACAAAAACAGGTAATACAAGGGAAAAAAGAGGAAACTTATAGGAAAAAGAAATAAGAGCAGATAGGGCTGGGGTTGTAACTCAAAGGTAGAGCGCTCATCTAGCACATGCAAGGCCCTGGTTGGAGCCTCAGCACCACATAAAAATACGTAAATAAAATAAAGGTATTGTATCCAACTACAACTAAAAATAAATATTAAAAAAGAAATAGCAGATAAAGAAAACACACCAGAAGATATAGGCATGAGTAGAAAAAAAGTTTGATCAAATATTTCATAATGAATTTGTAAAATTTATGAAGCAATCACAACAAGAGAATAAAACATATATAAATTCAAGGAATAGATAATGAGAAATTAAAGGCTAATAAAACATTTTTAAAATGTAGAAAAGGAAAAATCTTGCTGAATTTAAGGTGAAATTTATAGTAGCCCAGGGAAGAAATAACACTGCTGATACATGCTAATGGACAGAGAAGACAGTAATGAAAAATGTACAAAAATAGAAAAAAATATTTAAAAATAAAGTGAAAAATTGTAGCTATGAATAAAATTAATAAAACATACCTTACTAGAATTTTTTAAAAGGGAAAATACAAGAGAATATTTAACACTGTAGTTCCAGAGCATTTTAAGAAACTTAATTGTGAATACAAGAAATACTGAATTTCAGAGGGGAAAAAAATTACAGACATCAAAGACAGAAGAAGGAAGTAAAGGGGGAAGAATAGAATTAGAAAATAAAGAAGAAGAAAAGGTGACAAAATTACAAAGTTCTCTTTTGAATGTTGTTTGAACTTATGGATTGTTATATAACTGAATATTTTAGATTATGAGCATTACAGAATTTTCATTCAAGAAAAATACTTGTTTTCAAAAAGGAACTGTTCAGTAGTTCATCTGATATTGTATTTGGATTTTTGTTTTCTTACAGAAAAATGGGCACATTTTTGAATTTCAGACATCTTCAAACTTGTTTAAAGGAAGGCATTCTACTAGATTATTATGTGTCTGGATTTTTGTGGGCTAAAGGAATGGAATTTTCTATTACTCAATATTCAAAATTTATGACTTTACTGGATATGTTGCTTCATAATCTTAGAAGTAAGTACATTATTTTTCTCTTTTTCAAGAAAAGAAGAACTTAGCCTACCATCTGAATTAATGTTCTTAAGCAAAATTTCTTAATTTTACATTAATTTCTTCAATTAAAATCATGTTCTCCCCCTTTCAGGTTATAGCAAAGATATGGCTCATATGTTTATTGAGCTGTAAATCCTCAAATAATGCTTAACAAGACTAAAGTTCTCTTAATAATCAATATTGCAATGAAATGCTAATTTCATTTAACAGTCTTGTCAATGCCATCACCCTTCAAATAGCTGGGGACTCTCTGTGATAGATAGATAGATAGATAGATAGATAGATAGATAGATAGATAGATAGATAAAAGATATAGATATAGATATTTGAATCCAGGAATGCTTAACCATTGAATTCCCAGCTCATTTTTAAAAATTTTTTAGTTGTAGATGGACATAATAGATTTATTTTATTTTTATGTGATACTGAGGATTGAACCCAGTGCCCTCCACATGGCAAAATGAGCACTCTGCCACTGAGCTACAACCCCAGCTCTCCCAGCCCATTTTTAATTTTAATTTTGAGATAGGGTTTGGCTAGGTTGCCAAGGCTGGCCTTGAACTTGTGATCCTACAACAGACTCCTRAGTTGCTGGAATTACAGGTGTCTGCCACCACACTCAGTTTCTCTGTGATATTCTTGCAACATTTTTGTATATATAAAACTCTCTGGAATTAAAAGTTTTCAGTAAGTATTTCCCTAATATCAGTGGGCATAACAAAAAGGGAGGGATGAGGAAGCTTTCTGTGTATTGTGTAGAAGACTACATATCATTAAGTGAAGAATTGTGTGCTTTTGTTTATAAAAGACATAAAAATAAGAATTTAGATGTTTTTGTATATACACAAAGAAATGCAGAAAAATAAAGGATAAACCCATWATTACCTGTTGAGAAAGATAGTAGAATCTGGGCATTTGGACAACAAGAGTTGAAGGAAGTATTTTCTCCTATTAGCTCCATGTTTATATTTTGAAACATGAATATAAGATTGACAAAAAAATTTTAAATTCAGTCTTAAAAGAGAATATATGATATGGCAGTCCAAATCTTTGAATCTCTAAGCAGAGTATTGATGAATTAGAAAGAGAATAAAGAAGAGGAAATATTTTTATGAATCTCAGATTCTCAATTTGAGAACGTATCTACATCTCAGACTTTTTCCATACCTTATAATTCAAAGGAGAAACTTTTCATTGTTGTTATCAGTTAAAAAATGAATTCCTAAAACTTGAGCTGGACTTATCCAACTATTCATAAACCATGAGAAACTCATGGATGTTAACAAACTTATAGTCATAATCAGTAAAGAATGTGATTTCAGTATGCTYACAGATTAAAGGAGGCCAAGTATGTCTACATTTAAACTAGGTAGTGGTAGAGTTCTGTGCACATGCTGTCACTCCCAGACACTCATAGCTTATGTCAAAGTGCTAGAGAGCATGCAGTCCCGGATGGTTGTTGTCTTGTGGTCCATCCAGTATGGAACTACTGTTTAGCCTAACAGGTTTTGATCTTATCTTTGCCTTGAATTTGTACTGTATATTTACAAGGCATTCTGCAGACAAACCATCTAGAATCAAATGGAATCAACTCCCAAAATTATGTGGAATATCATATTTGTAGATTTAGTCTTTAGGGATTCAACCAACTGTGGATAGAAAACATTTGAAAAAAAAATTGTGCACAGACTGAACATATTCAGACTTTTTTTTTTTTTTTGTATTGGGGATTGAACACAGGAGTGATTTACCAATGAACCACATCCCCAGCTCTTTTTGGCTTTTTTTTTAGTATTATTTTGTAGCTGTTGTTGGACACAATACCTTTATTTTATTTATTTATTGTTTTATGTGGTGCTGAGGATCGAACCCAAGGCCTCGAACATGCTAGGCAAACACTCTACCACTGAGCCACTACCCAAGCCCCCTAGCTCTTTTTAATTTTTATTTTAAGACAAATTCTCACTAAGTTGCTTAGCAGGGCCTTATTAAGTTGCTGAGGCGAGCTCTGAACTTGCAGTCCTCCTGCCTCAGTCTCCCAAGCCACTGGGAATATAGGTGTGTGCCACACGCCCAGCTCAGATTTTTTCTCCTAGTCATCGTCCCCTAAACAACAAGTATAACAACAATKTACTTAGAGTTTACATTGTATAGGGAATTATATGTCATCTAGAGATGATTTAAAGTATGCAGAATAAATGTGTATAGGTTCTGTACAAATACTACACTATTTTATTTATTTGCAYATCTTGTCACTCCCAGACACTCAACAGCTTACGTGAAAGTGCTGGTATCCTTGGAGGGTCCCAGAACCAATCCTCTTGGATCCTGAGGAAAAACTGTATACATTTGGAGATCTAGTTTTTCTAAGGTCTGACCAAAGACAAACTATAGTGTTTATTGACTAAATATGTGGCCTTTATCTAGGTCCATAGGCATAGATTAACTCCCTGGTGTATAACATGATTACTAGTAAGTAACTATGGGATCCTTTCTAATCCTGTGATGCTAAATCGTTTTCCTCTAAATGCAAATAATCAGATAGCATTTATGCAGAATTAACTTGTGCCAGACATAGTACCAACAGCTTTAGAAATACTGTCTTGTTTAATTCACACAGAACTTTTGAGAAAAACAAGTAAAGTTCCAAGGGTTGAAAAACTCTGTAAGGTCATATAAAGTCAATCTCCACAAATGAGATCCCACCTTTATGAATACTGTATCAAATGTGCCTGGCTTTGGGCTGAATTATAGAAAACACCATACCATTTAATATGCTAGAATATGCATCTTTTCAGTTTGCCAAGAGTTTGACATGCATTTCTTATTTGATCATCACAACAGCATTATAATTATGAAAATAGGTATTATTCTCATTTTATAGATAAAGAATGAGACTTAGGTCACCTAGCTAATATCAGCTATGAGGTACCATCCTAAGTTTTCCAATTAATTAGAAGTCCAGTGCATTCTTTCATTGCCCTAGATTGTCAAGAATAAATTTTATTTCTATCAGCCTTACTGTTTAAGTGGTTTAATCTTTCATATTTTACTCATATCTCTGAATATGATTTCTAAAAGAGCAAATATTTCAGTTAGATAAATGAAATGATAACTTCCCTAATTTTTAAAGCAATTATCGATAGAAAGACATTAGACACAGAAAAACAGTTTTAAAGAGTCAGTTATTTTTCAGCATGAGGGAATGGTTTTAAAAATGTATTTCTGTATTTGATAAGTACAATTTCATCTAGAACTATAATCATTTATCTAAGAATTCCTTTTTTCTCTGCATTTCTAATTAATACCATTTTATTAATAAAATGATTCAGATTTTCATTCATTTAGAATTGCTCTTATTCAACAGATTTTTCATTTCTGAAGTTACTTTCACTATTTTCAAAAGGAGTTTATCATGGAAAGAGAAATTACAATTGAGTTGAATTCCACTTAGAATGATATTGGAAAGCCTAGTTATTCAGCAATAATCAAGTATATCTGACATACATAAAAGGATGTGGAGGGACACTATGAGAAATGAACCAATTATGATTAATTAAAACAGATTTTAATTATTATATAGTTTTATGCTTGTTTCTAATCCTGTGAGTAGAAGAGAATCTAGATGGAAAAAATGCAAGCTAGTATTCATATTATATTTCTAAATTTTTAAAAATCACTACTATTTTATTAGCAATTTTGGTATTGGGATATATAGTACATACATCTCAGAAAGAGTAGCTGTGTAATTCAAAAGTGGCTGCGTCCCACAATCAACAGATATGCTCACAACCTATTTTTTAATCTCCATCCCTATTCCTCCAAAAATCCATTTCATTGCATGAAGGGAGAACAGTTACCGATGATGTCATGTGACAGACCTAACTGTTTGGCAGGGTTCACATTGAGCACCACACTTAGCTTTGATGCCTCATCCAAATGCCCCCCAACTGATATTCACCTCCCCTAAACAGCCAGTCCAGCCTTCGTTTCTCTAGAGCCTTTCAACTGTCCACCTCTCATCCCCTGAGCTTTATGTTCATACACCCACTAGTGTCAACAAAGGCTMTTCTGGACCCTCCTGTTACCTGAATTCATTCTTTAGGGGACTAGGGGAACGTATGTGTGGATTGTAAGTAAATATTTTGCCTTCCACTATCAAAAAATGAGCATAACATTACCAACCAAGAAAAAGACAATAGAAACTAATAGTTTCATTTATAGACACTCTAAAAGCTAAAGTTATTGGCATTTATCTCCTTCTTCAATTGGACTAATGCCACAGAAAGTGGTTTTGGGTATTTTTTCTATTTGTTTGTGCCTCTCAGCAAACAGACTAGAATGACTGAGCTGTTCATGCTAGGARCTGCTGGTGAAGTTGTGTTGCTCTTTTTCCATTTTCTTCCAATGCTCAACCTCAGTGGGCATACATTTGAGGAAGAGCTGAAATGAGTCCTAGGTTGGTTTGTGGAAAAGAAAAAGATATCTTGATGTTTCATGTAAAAGTTCATATTCCTGCCTTCTACTGAAAATCTTCAAGCCCTATTTCTCCCATGGTAACTATCAGCTAAAGTCCAGTGGTAGTGGACTTCAGCCATTTCGATTTCTAGCTCTGAGTTCAGCCCTGAGTTTAGCGACTGAACCTACCATCTGGGTCTTCCTCATTATCCAAGTCAAYCAACTTTTTGTAATTTTTATGTATCCTGTATTCTAAGATCATTTAAAAAAATCTCCTCTCTATTATAAAGTAATCTTTACATATATTTTGATTCTGTTGATCTTAAAATGGAAACATAACAAAGCTCTTCAAACAATTGTGCAGCTTACAATAATTTACAATTGTTGAGTATGTCAGTTGACATTCTTTTACTACAAAATGTAGTTTATGCTTGTTTCCAATTCCTATAAGTAGAAGAGAATCTACATGAAACAAATTGTAAGCTAGTATTCATATTATCTTTCTAAAATTTTAAAATTGCTATCATTTTATTAGTTATTTTGGTATTTGGAATATATACTATGTACATCTCAGAAACAGTAGCTGTGTTTAATTTATTATGAAGAAACAAAAGGAGTTTTACCATTTACCCTCACAAAAACAAAGTAAATTTTGGCACATTTRTGACATTTGGATTATTTTGCTCTTAAAATATGTATCAAAATAACGCTTAAGATTTCCTTGCATTTTATTTCAGCCCTACATATGTCCCTAGAAGACAGCATAAAGTGGCTTGGGGAAGTTATGGCTGAAATTGGACCAACCCAGTCACAAAAAAATGAGGAACAGAATGTCTTTAATATAGAACAAGCCAATGCTATCATTGATTACTTAAAAATCAGGTATGGTTTTGTTTTTAGTAGCATTATTTTTCATTCCATATCTTCTAGAAATTGTCTATTTAAAAGTTTAATTGTTATTAATTTTTTATTTATATATGACAGCAGAATGCATTATATTACAATTCTTATTACACGTATAGAGCACAATTTTTCATATCTCTGGTTGTATACAAAGTATACTCACACCAATTCGTGTCTTCATACATGTACTTTGGATAATAATGCCCATCACATTCCACCATCATTTCTAATCCCATACCTCCTCTCTTCCCCTCCCACCCCTCCCACCCCTGCCTATCTAGAGTTTATCTATTCCTCCCATGCTCCCCCTCCCTATCCTACTATGAATCAGCCTCACTATATCAGGGAAAACATTTGGCATTTAGTTTTTTGGGATTGGCTAACTTCACTTAGCATTATCTTCTCTAACTCCATTTACCTGCAAATGCCATGATTTTATTCTCTTTTATTGCTGAATAATATTCCATACTTTTTTATCCATTCATTTATTTAAAAATTGAACTTTAAAATCAGATATTTAGTGGAATGAATCTGACCTAACTTTCATGTACTTACATGATTATACTACAATGAGTCTCACTATTATGTATATCCACAAGACACTAATTTTACAAAAAACAAAAATTAAATAAACAGAAAAATAAGGTAGAGAAAAAGGAAGGGGGGAGGGAGAGGATAAGGATAATTATTGGGGTCTTAATTGGAGCAAATTATATTCCATGTATTTATAATTATGTCAAAACGAATCCTGATGTTATATATAATTTTTATAAATCAATAAATAAAAATAAATATATAGCAGTAAAAAAACCTTTCATAAAAAATCAGATGTTTACAGAATTGACRCAGTAATTAATCAAACCAACACACAAATAATATTTAAATCTTCCATCTAATAAATAAGTCAGGACATTAAACATTTTGGCTAATATTGCATTCTTTAAAATTATTTGTGTTTAGYAAATACAATTTTACCTAGAATTATAATAAAATACCTAAGAAATTCTTTTTTCTCTGCATCTTTAGTACCATTCCATTAATAAGATCATTCTTTCTCATTAATCAGACTTAATTATAATATATTCTATATTTTAGATAGTTGACATTTCCAACTACTAGCTTACATTTTAAAGAACAATATTCACTTCCATTTAAATGTTCACTTTAAATGTTKTATTTTAGAAATGGAAGAGATTTATTTATTGTATATTATAAAATATTTTATACTATGGACCAATTAAACTCATTATTGTCTGTCTTTCTACTTGGAAAACAACAGTGGATGGAGAGAAAGTATTTTTTATTACAGTGATTCTTCATTGGTGAATAAAGAATCTGTCTTTTTATATAGTCTGTCACAAAGTCTGCATTAGAGTCATGCATCTCTCCAAAGGGACATTTTGAGTTTGCAAATATCCAAACAAGAGCAGGTAAATTCTTTCTTTTGCCTAACTACAAGTCTCTGCATAATATCCTTGTTCTTCTTATGCTATATACTCCAGTGTTTTCCAAATTAAAATTCTAAAGCAAAGGGTGCCAAATGATATTCTAGACATGCTCATGATTTGCTTGGCAAAGATCCTGGTTGTAGTCTGGAAGCTTTATAAATATTAGTGTGTTTAATATGATAAAGTTTATATACTGACTTCTGGCATGAGTTAATAATGGCATATGATATGCTTTTTATATAATAGCATCTGATATAATATGATTTCTTAATATAAAAATATATCTCCTAATGAGTGACTCTCACTAAAAGCCACAGTAGTTCTCATATCAATTAGAGTAAGGCAGGATCTTTGGGTRTGGGAGGGAAGGAGCTAGAAATTCAGAACTGAATAAGAACCTGGGTTTTGGGGTTTGTTTGCCCACCACAGTTTGAGAATCACTAAGTAAGAGAAATCCGTCCTGCACATCTGTACTGGCATCCTTCTTTCCACACTATTTGAATATGCCAGGTTGCTCTTGCAGAACACATTTTTATACTTAAGCTCTAGGCCCAGTAGGTTTATAATGGGTGTGGAGACCAATGGCAGCAACACCCACATAAGCACCATAAAGATACCTACTTACTGGACAGTAAGAATGGGCTCCTTTCCCTCTGATCTCTCTAAGGCAGATGTTCATCAATGTATTTCTTAACATTTTCTTTCAGAAAATGTTTATGTTAGAAAGGGGATGTCAGTATCAGTCACCTTTTTAAAAACATTTTTACTGGTTCTTTTTAGTTGTACATGACAATAGAATTTACTTATTTTAATATAGACCTATATTTATTTATTTATTTATTTATTATATGTGGTGCTGAGAATTGAAACCAGTGCCTCACACACGCCAGGCAAGTGCGCTCCGGTTGAGCCCCAGCCCCAGCCCTAGAATTTAGTTTGACACAATTATAAAATCATGGAATATAATTGTATTCCATGCATTTATAATTGATTCAGTCCCCAGTACTTCCCCTTCCCCTCCTATTCTCCCACCCCTTGTTCCCTTTCCTCTGCTCTACTGATCTTTCTGCTATTTACTTATATATTTTTTWAAAAAAATAGTGTCTTATGGATGTACATAATGGTTAAGATTCACTGACTGTAGTATATTCATATATGTCCACAGGAAGTTATGTCAGATTCATTCCACTATCTTCACTATCCCCTCTATCCTCCCTTCCCTTCAYTCCTCTTTCTCTACTCCACTAATCTTTTTTCTATTTTTTTTTCAATCCCCACCCACCTTATTTTGGATTAGGTTCTGCATATTAGAGAAAATATTTAACCTTTAGCTTTGGGAACTGGCTTATTTCACCAAACATGATAGTCTCCTGATCCATGCATTTACCAGCAAATGACATAAAGTCATTCTTCTTTATGGCTGAGTAATATTCCATTGTGTATATACCACATTTTCTTTTATTTTTCTTTCTTTTTTTTTTTTTTTTGTACTGGGGATTGAACTCAAGAGTGCTTAACCAGTGAGCCACATCCCCAGTCCTTTTTGTGTTTGTTTGTTTGTGCATCTTGCTAAGTTGCTTAGGGCGTCACTAAGTTGCTAAGGTTGGCTTTGAATTTGCATTACTCCTTCCTCAGCCTGGAAAACTGCCYGGATTACAGGTATGCGCCACCATGCCTGGCTACACATTTATTTTTATCCATTTATCTGTTGAAGGGTACCTAGGTTGACTGTATAGATTAGCTGTTGTGAATTGAGCTGCTATAAATATTGATGTGGCTTGTCACTGCAGTATGCTGATTTTAAATTCTTTGTATATATACTGAGGAGTGGGATACCTGGGTCAAATGGTGGTTGTCTGAGGAATCTCCATGCTGCTTTCCAGAGTGGTTGTACCAATTTGCAGTCCCACCAGCAATGTGAGTGTACCTTTTTCCCCACATCCTCGCCAACATTTATTGTTACTTTTATTCTTGATATTTGTTATTCTGAGTGGAGTGAGATGAAATCTCAGCATAGTTTTATCTTGCATTTCTCTAATTGCTAGAGATGTTGAACATTTTTTCATATATTTGTTAACCATTCTTTTTTTTTTTTTTTGAGAAGTGTCTCTTTAGTTCCTTTGCCCATTTATTAATTGAGCTTTTTGGTTTTCTTGGTGTTTTTTTAATTTGATGCCATCCAATTTATTAATTTTTAATTTTACTTCTTGCACTTTAGGGGTGTTGTTAAGGAGGTCAGTTCCTGAGCCTACATGTTGGCATGTTGAGCCAACATTTTCTTCTAGCACTGGCAGGGTTACTGCTATGATTCGTAGGTCTTTGATCCATTTTGAATTAACTTTTGCACAGGGTGAGAGGTAGGGGCCACATCTTATTATCCTACATATGGATTTCCAGTTTTCTCAGCACCATTTGTTAAAAAGGCCATTTTTTCACCAAATTACATTTTTGGCATCTTTTTCTAGCATGAGAGTACTATACTTCCATGAATTTGTCTCTATGCCTTCTATTGTATTCCATTGGCCTTTATGCCTGTTTTAGCGCCATAACATGCTACTTTTGTTAGTATAGCTCTGTAGTATAGTTTGAGGTCTGATATTGTAATGACTACTACTTTGCTTTTCTTGCTAAGGATTATTTTAGCTATTCTGGGACTCAATTTTCCAAATGAATTTCATGACTTCTTTGTCTATATCTGTGAAGAATGTCATTGGAATTTGATGGGAATTGCATTAAATTTGTATATCATTTAGGTAGTATGGCCATGTTGACAATATTACTTCAGCCTATCCAAGAACATAGGAGGTCTTTCCATCTTCTAAGGTCTTCATTTCTTTCTTTAGTGTTTTATASTTTTCATTTTACAGCTTYCTTTTCTCCTTTTCCTTCTTCTTTTTGTGGTGCTGGGGATTGAACCAAGGACCGTGTGCATGCAAGGCAAGCACTCTACCAACTGAGCTACATCCCCAGGCCTTTCTTCATTTCTTTTGTTAGATTCATTCCCCAGTATGTTTGTTTTTGAGGTCATTGTGAATGGGATAGTTTCCTAATTTATTTTTCAGCAGATTCATCATTGGAATATTGCAACATAATTGATTTATGGATGTTATTTTGTATCGTGCTACTTTGATGAATTGATTCATGAGTTCTAAAAGTCTTCTTGTGGCAATTTTTGGATCTTCTAAATATTGGATAATGCCATGGCAAACAGAAGTAGTTTGAGCTCTTCTTTTCCTATTCATATCCATTTAGTTTCCTTCTCTTGCCTAATTGCTCTGGCTAGAGTTTCAAGGACTGCATGGAATAGGAATGGTGAAAGTGAACATCCTTTACTTGTTCCTGTTTTTAGAAGAAATGCTTTCAGTTTTTTTCCATTCAGAATAATGTTAATAATGTTAATAATGTTGACCTTGGGTTTGTCATAGTCTGTCCAATGTTGAGATATGATTCTTTTATTTTTTATTAGAGCTTTATGGTTATACATAGTAGTTGGGTTCATACCAACAATCTCATACATGCATAGGAATTGAT